GATTTGTTCCTGAAAAATATCACTTATTACACCGAGCTGCTAGACACTTGTCAAACCCTGTACCCTGTGAACAGAGCCTGTGTCTTCTTTCCTGGGGCCCATGGAACAATCGCAATTTTGACCATATATATAGCACAAAAACAACAATGAATTTCAAATGCAGAAATAATGCAGGCCACATTCTGCATGCACAATGTAGCGGAAGTACAACTAAGCCAAAGCAAGCAAAAATATCCTCATGGAAATTCGGGAGGTATGCAGTTAAACTCTGATAACTATCCACCTAAAGAATAAACTAACTTTAGAATATTTTAATACAATAGTAATCAGAAATGTATAGAGCAATCCTATTGGATCTGAAAAAAATCTGCACTTAAAATAAAAGGCATAGTCTTAAACACCTACTAAATAAAAAACAATAAAAATAAATTAAGCACTCAAGAAGTTGGGGAAAAACAGAGCCAATTTAAAGAAAGTGGCAAAGAATTTAATACAGATGTATGTGCATATTAACGAGCTAGGAAAAGGGTAGACTCGACAAATAAATTTAAAGTCTTAATTATAAAATAATTAAAACCCTTGAAATACAAGATATAATATAGTAACACAAAATCAGCCCCTAAAAAGAAGTAACACAGATGGAGAAAATTAGAAAAATTGTAAGACAATGTTTGGTTCAGGTCCATGTAATAAATTGGAAAATGTGAATAAATGATCTTGAAAATTTAAATAACCAAGATTGACTCAAGAAGAAAGAAACTCAATAAACCAATGATAATGTAAAAATCCACCCTGGATTGGGATTTATCTAAGAAATCCAAGACAAACGCCTAAACATTGGGAAACGTATTCCACTGTCCAATTGGCAAATCCAAACAGATAAATTAAATGTTTAGAAACAAGAAGAATTCAGGATAGTACCAGCTTGCAAAATAAATAGCAAGAGCTTTCTCGTATATAATGCCCAGTTTTCTAAAAATAGAAAAAAGTCACATTTCCATTAGCAACTACGAAACGTAAAATACCCCCAAAAAAATAAAAAAATATGCAAGACGTATGTAAAGAAACGTATAAAATTCTTTCATAAGATTTTAAAGGACAATGAATTAGAGTGGTGTACCTTTTTCTTGAATAAGATGACAAAACACTGTACAATTATTTATTCTTCCTAAATCAATAAATATTTTCAATGTAATTGCAGTCAAAATCTTGATGACACTTTTCTGGAACTTGACAAAATAAGTAATAAATTAACCTTGAAGAATAAATACAAAACCATATTTAAGAAAACACTGGAACAAAGTGACACAGTGTTCCTTTTTTGTCAGAATACAAAATGGAAGTTTTAAAGCAATAGAAATGAAACCATGTGTCAGTGGTACAAGAATGGACAGAATAATGGGACAAAAAGCTATGTGTGGAAATACTTCCAAGAACAGACCAGAATCTGGTACGTGATACAGACGTTACTTCGTATCAGTGGTAGAGTTTGAGTTATCCAAATAAGCGAGGTTGAAACAACTTGCCAGCCACTTGGGAAAAATTCATGTTAAGCCAGATCCCAACCTCACTCTCAAACATAAACTCCAAATGAATTAAAATCGTGAATGGAAAAAAATAAAACTATAAAAACAGAAAAGACAATATGGGCAAATGTTTCAATGTTGAAGGAGCTGGCACAAGGGGAGTGTGTCTAAAATCAGAAATCATAAAGAAAAAGATTTGTCTACACCCAAACTTAGAAATTTCTTAGAATCCATATAAAGACATACACAATACATAGATATACACGATTAAAGACAAGCAACAAACTGAGATTATTTGCAACATTTATGATAGTTGATCGGTGGTCCTCATGTATAAATAAACCACTGTGATAAATACACAAGAAAAAGATAAAAAACACATCTAAACAAAGGATATTAACAAGAAACTCATAAAAGAAGGAATGATTATAAACATTTAAAAAATGTTTAACCTCACAAGCCACAAAAGAAATGAAAATTAATACAGGAAAGGGATACCATTTTTGTCCTTTCAAGATGGGCAAATATTTCAGAGATCAATAATATCAATATCCAGGATTTTTCATGGACAATATCCATGAAAAAATGGGTTGTCTCATCTACTGCCAATAGCCATGTAAAGAGTAAAAGCTCTGTCTGGAAATCTATTCATACGCACCAATGTTTCAAATATATACACTCCTTTAACCTAGAAATGCCACTTTCAGGAATTTAGCCTAAGGGAAGGAAATGTATATACAAAGATATTAATTGCAATATTATTTTCTAAAACCATGAATTGAAAACATCGTAAATGCCTAACCATAAAGAATTTGCCCACCCAGTGCAGTCCCCACATACTATTAAGAGAGAGATTGCGAGTATAAAATAGCCTGTATTATAGAAGCCCATTTGGGTAAATAGCATAGAAAAAAGTCAAGGAGATTAGATAGCAAAAATGCGTATAAGAGGAGTTCTCTCTTTATTCTCTATACAGTGTTAATTTTTTACGAAGAGCCTGCACCACACTTAGAACTAGACGGACTAATACGGCTATTCTCCTTGGCTGGAACATAAAGGTGTGAACCCCGAGTGTCTGCATGTGAGTGCCCAGGTGAAGCTGACCAGCAGAGCCCAGAGATGGAGCCCACGAAAGCTGGAGACATGGCAGTGTGCACACAGCTCAGATGAAGCAAACAGTGTCTGGGCTGCTGCCACCTCCTCTCTGACACCGATACTTGAGCCCAGCCCAGCGCGGTGCCCCAGAAATTCCCAGAGTTCCCACCGCGAACTTCAAGACCATCCAGAAGGGGCCTGTAAGCCCCCCAGTACCAGTGGGGGGGTGGAGCTCGAGGGGGGTTTTCTGGGACACGCTGAGACCAGTCCTTCTCAGCCCTGGCTGCGCTAGAATCCCCTGGGGAGCTGTCATGAGTACTGATGCCCGGGTCTGACCCTCAGAGGCTGTGATTTACCGAGCCTGGGTGCAGTGAGCACAGAGATTTTTCCAGTCTTTCCAGGTGGTTCTAAAGTGCCTCAGGGTTGAGGCCCACTGGAACAGATTCGGCTCTTGTCCTATGTACACCTTCCGTCGAATACTCTGCCCAGACCCAGGGAAGGATAGTTTTGTTCCTGCTGCACTAAAGGGCTCCACAGAGACGGAGCCCTGGGCTGGCCTAAATGCCACAAAGCAAGGACTGTGTTTCATTTGTCACTGTGACCCCAGTGGCTCAGCCCAAGGCCTGGCACAGATGCGGGGCTCCAGGAACACTGATGGGATGAGGGGAGAGGGCAGGAGAGGGATTCTACCCCTCCCACCTCCTGAGTGCCCTAAATCCTTGGAAGTGTAGGCCTCAGACCAGCAGTGGCCCATCACCTGGGTGCTTGTTCATAATGCAGATGCCAGAATGAGAACCTACATTTTAACAAGACCCCAGGTGGTTCGTGCCCACGACCGTATCACTGGTTCTGCTGTATCAGTGGGTCACCCATGAAAACAGACAACACATGGCCTTTTGCTTGTGAAATGTCCCAGGTGATTCTGACATGCAGTCCAGGTTCAGAGTGCACCGAGGCCTCTATGCGGCCCAGCCTTGGCTCTGGCCAGACCAAGAGACCCTGCCACTCAGGGACCACCCACTCAGCTCTAGAGACCCTGGAGACAGACCCAGTTCAAATCCCATCTCTGTCACTTCCTAGCTGAGTGACTGAGTAAGTCTCTAACCCCTGGGCAATCTGTACAATGGAGCTGATGGGAGGAAAACCTACTCCCCAGGGTCTGTGAGGGTTAAATGACCTCATTGATCTAAAAGCACTTAGAAGTTTCCTTGGCCTCGTGTCCGGCTTTCTAATAAGAGCTTAGATGAACAGAGCCTGGTAGGAACCTCCCTCCTGCTTCTATAAAGAGGCCAGCGAGAAGGAAAGTGGTCACAGTGTAGGGTCCCTCTTGGGAAAATCCAGACTAAATGAAGAGGCTGAGCCATCTGCCCTCTGTTTCCATTATTCGTGCAGACAGATCAGCCTCCAGGGTCCTTAAAGAGAGTCCCCAGCCCTGAGTGTGTGCACCGAGAGCACAGACTGAGGTTCACACAGTACCCCCTCCCCCCACAATGTCCCACCCCCACCCCCACCTCCAGGAACGCAGGCCTGCGCCCTGGTGCCCAGGACAGGGCAGCACCAAGTTCTCCACAGCGGGGTCTCTCTGCGGATTCCCCTGGGCCTATGCAGGGTGCACCAGACGAGGGGGGTTGTGTGTGCGCGCGCGCGCGCGTTTCGGGGGTGGGGGGTGCGGAAAGGGGAGCTCGCAGGTTCGGTGCTGACGATGGTGTCCCTCCCTCCTTCCTATCTCTCGCCTGCTGCGCTCGCCCAGCCGCACGGCAGATAGGCCGGCGGGCGGGCGCCCCCCTGTCCGAGCGCGGCCGCTGCCTCTGCGGCAGACAGCAGCGCGCTGCCCGCTCCGGCGCCTGGCTCGCCGGCAGCGCAGCAAGCGGGCGCCGTGACGTTCTGGGATAAACGCCGTGTAACTGTGTAGGCGAATGCGAGCTAAAAATAAGAACGGAAAATCTATCATTAAGGTATCATTGCGCCAGCGCAGCTATTTGAAGGCTCCCATGGTCCCTGGCGCCTGCGTTTGAAGCCCGCCTTCAGGCTTTGAGGGGGGGTATTTGCAGAAAACTCCCAGCAGCGGCTCGCCAGCCGGGCCTCAGGGCGCTGGGGGTGGCGCCTGTGATTATGGCAATACTCAAAATAAAATGACGCTCCCCTCCCCCATCTCATAGCCTGTATTGTCCTGATGTCGCTGGGGAAGACACTGTAAGTGGGCTGGATGCCGAAATGAGTGTGACCCGGCTGATTATGCCAAGATTAGGACTAAACGCTCTTTTACGTCTATTCCGCCATTCACCTTCCTCCATCCGCCTCGGATTAGAAAGATCAAGTACCGGGAGGCGGCCTCTGGAGGAGAAAATGAAAACTGGGACTTGACCCCAGGTCTACAGAGCACCGCAATCGGGCGCAAAGACGCACACTCGCGGTGGGCGAGGCTCCGGGGTTCCCATTGGGTTAAACGAAAACTGATCTGATTTGCTTTTTAACCCCACAAGGGGAGAAGGGGAGACCGGGGCGGACGGGCAGGGTTTGTGTTTGTGCGTGTGTGTCCAGGAGGAGGAGGAGGAGGAGGAGGCGGCGCCAAGGTGTAGCCTGCGCGGCGCGGCGCCTCGCGGGCTGTGTGCGTGTCCCTGTCCGCGCTGCTGAAACCGGCTCTTCCAGGGAATCGCGTCACATGACTCCGCCTGCCCCTCGCCAGCGCGCAGCTCGCCGCTCCCTCAGTTTCCCAGGTGCCAGGGGAGGGTCTCGCGGCATCTCCTGGGGCCCCGGGCTCTGCAGAGCAGAGAAGAGGTTCCAGCGGGGAATGGCACATCTGGATTCCAAAAGCCACGACTCGGCGCCAGATCCCAGAGTGTAGTTATTTCAGGGGGGGAGGGGAGAACGAGAAGGAGGCAGCGCGCGCGGACAGGGGGCTGCCAGTGCCGCGCGGAGAAGATGTAAGCGCGTGGGGTCTAGCTGGCCTCCGAGCACCATGCAGAAAGGGATCCGGCTGAACGATGGCCATGTCGCATCCCTGGGGCTGCTGGCACGCAAGGACGGCACGCGCAAAGGCTACCTGAGCAAGCGGAGTTCGGACAACACAAAATGGCAAACCAAGTGGTTTGCGCTGCTGCAGAACCTGCTCTTCTACTTCGAAAGCGACTCGAGCTCGCGGCCCTCTGGGCTCTACCTGCTGGAGGGCTGCGTCTGCGACCGAGCGCCCTCCCCAAAGCCTGCGCTCTCGGCCAAGGAGCCGCTGGAGAAACAGGTGAGGCCAGCGCAGCGCCCGGTAGCTCAGCGCCCGGGTGCGGCCCTCGGGGATCAGGGCCTTCGGTGGGACCCCCACTGTGGTTCCTGTACTCTCCGCGCCCTCGGCACTCTCAGCTCCAAGGGAGGGTTGGCTCAAGTGGGCGGGTGACCCCGCGGTGGGCAGAGGGAGCAGAGACTGCGGGCAGAGTGTAGGTGCGGGCTGCGGCCGCCCTTCACCCGCGAGCTCCTCCGTGGGAGGAGGTATGTAGAAGGGAGATGGGGTCCGGGGGCTGGACAGGTGAAGGTGGACCCGCATCCTGCCCAAAATGCTGCTCCCCACCCCCACTCTCGGCCCTCGGCCCTAAAGACCCTCATAGTCTGTCCAGACCTGGGAGGTGTAATGCCCACCCCCCCACTTTGAGGCGGGGGAAGGGTGAGATGGAGGCGTCCGAGCGCTGTGCCCCTGCCTTGCCGCTGCCCAGAGCGTAGAGGAGCCTGCACTAGCTCTGCCAAGTTGGGGGGTTGCAGGACTGCAGGGGTCGGTTCGATGCTTTGACCTGTGATGGGCTTCCAGGCGGCCCCAGACCAGAGGAATAAACCAAGGTGTTCCAAGCACCCCACTGACATGCCAGGGCTGCTGCGGAGGCCGCGGGACAAATGTGCCTCTCTCCTCCTCCGCCCCCTGTCCCTCCCCCACCTCCGCAGTCTGGGCTACAGCGCTGCGCTCACTCGCGTTTCCCGGGCTGCTCCGCGAAAACGCCAGGCCTGGATCTGGCCCTGGACCCGGTGGGGGTGTGCCTTTGGCATGGAGGGTGGGACGAGCACCTGCACCCGCCGAGTGGGAACAACCAGACAGCGAGAGAGACAGCAATTTTTGAGCTCAGTTCCTCTCCAAAGGCCTCTGGGCCATCCCCCTGCCTCTGGGAAGGTACGAGACAGCGGATCCTAAAATATCACTGCTGGGAGGAACCTGAGGTCCATGGGTCTAGATGAGGACACTGGGGCCCAGAGAGAGGAACTGACATGCCCAGTGTCATGCCAGGAGGTGAGGCTACCTCAGGGTTCTGAGAAAAAAATGTGATCTCAGAAGCCATTGCTATTTACAGATGGGTGGGGGGGGAGCAAAAGCGGGGACTGAATTGGCTGAAATAAAAGGATTGATTGAAGTTCCCCCTAGACATTGTCAAGACAGATCTGAGCTGGGTCTCTGCAGCACACCATTTCCTTCCCTGACCTCAGCCTGTGGGGGCTGGGAGATGGGGACGGGAATATTTGAGGGTGAGTTTCTGGGGATGACAAGCCACATGGCAGGTAATGGCTCCCAGATGGCAAAGCAAAGGGCAGGCAGTTCCTTAAGCTGAAAGCACACGTGGGGTCTAGGGGGCCCTCCCGGGAGAGCCAGGCCAGAGAGGCGCACGCACCCCTTCCTCACCTGCCCGCCAAGTCCACCTGTGTGTTCTACCAGCCACCGGCAGCCCCTGCCAGAGCCCAGGGCTGAGCTCCTGGGCAGGCAAGGGGAGAAGGCTGGAGGAAGGAAACTGCTGCTGGGCTGTCTGTTCTCAGCCCCTTGAAAGCCAAAGGCAGGCCTGAGACTGCCTCTCGGGGAGGCGACTCCTGTCTGTGGGACCTAACCTGACACACTGAACTCTGAGCCTCGTTTGTAATCCACAAAATGGTGGTCAAAACACCTACAGTTCTGGGGCTTTGCGAATGCAGTTCAATAATGTATATGGAAATATACACTGTAGTTGGAGCTAGGTAAATCTTAGTTGGATCTCAATTGTACCCATCTGGACAAGGAATAAAGGCCTGACCCAAACGGTTACAGCCGAAAGGAACCTCAGAGAGACCATACAGCCCTCCTTCCCATGTCTCACAGAGGACGTCAGTGGCAGAATCAGACCTAGAATTCACCCAATGTCTAAGAATTCCTGAAAATGAGCTCCTACAATACATTGACTCCCAATCGTTAAGCTCGTGGCTCAGGCACTGGATCGTGCTAGCAGGGGATTATGGGAGGAACAGCAGTGCCAGACCAATCGATGGTCCTCACACGTTCAGAGCGCTTTTCCCAGAACCTCAGCAGCCAGAGAGGCCCCCTGTGCTCACAGGAGGGCCCTCTGGGCACAAGGGCACAGAATACGGCTGAGAGCAGTGGGGGATGGTCTGGCACGGCCCAGCTCTGGTGCAAATTTCTGTTAAAACCGCTTCGTCCGTGGCCTACACTTGTCCAGATGTTCCATTTGACTCCAGGGTGAGCGTTTGGCTCATGTGGAAAAGTAGGTCCTGCTCCTTTGGCCTGTGGTCTACAAACAGTTATAACTTTTTCTTTTCTAAACCTTTGAGTAAAACAGATGGCCCCAGCAGCTGCACCAGTTTCTCCTTGAGCTGGATGCCCCAAAGCCCCCCCCCCCCCCCAGAGGCCCAGCCCCAAGCCATTCTTGGGCTGAACCTGGCTTGCTTCTGGGCCCCCAGGAAGCCTTGACTCGAAACCTGCCAGCACGCTAGGAGGCCCCCAAAAGGCTGCTGTTTGACTGGACTGGCTAGTGCCTGGTGAAGATGGGCTTTTAGCAGGGTGTCATTCTTACCCAGGTCTAAGTGGGCAGCTCCCACCTGGAAGCACCAGGGATAGTCTGTGAGAGAACAGACACCAAGTCTTGGCTGGGAGCCCCGCAATGGCAGGAATGGTGAGTCAGCACATAGTAGGTGTGCAGGAAATGCTTACTGAGCTGAACTTGCTGGTGTATCCCATGTAAATTCCACATTTCGTGTCCTGGGGGCGGACTGGGCACCAGTCCAGGCCCTGTGCTGTGCCACAGGCCTAATCGTCACAGTCCCCGCCCCCTAACTTTGGGCGCCTCATGCTGTGGAGTTGCTCTCCAGTGAGATAAGCCGACACCAGGCCCACCCTAACTCCACGCCCACACTCTTCCCGCTGTATGGACACTGGTTTGACTGCACCCGGGGCTGCCCCGGTGTCCCAGAACTCAGGCCTCCTTAACCCAGACTGGCGTGGCCATGTTCCCGCACCCACTGGAGACTGCGAGGCCCTTCCCTGGCCTGGGCCCTGTTGCTAGTGCTGACCTCCCAACCCTACAGCCGCTCGCTGGAGCCCAGGGTCCTGGGCTTAAGAGTTTGGGTTCAACATCCCTCGAGGGTGACCCTTGGTGTCTCTTGCCCTGCTCTGGCATGGAGTTACCCCAAACTGGCTTTTCTCACCCTTGTTCTGATACCCCTGAAATAAAACCGCCAGCCCCAGCTTCTCGCTCGGGGAGCTGACCAAGGCAACCCCAGCATTCCCCTCACCCCTTAACTAGGAGGGGTTACGACGTGGACCCCAGGCGCCTCCTGATTTGCGTGGGACGGAAGGGACACGGGCAGGTCCCTCAGGCAGAGTCTTGGCGCTGGTGTGGAGGGCAGGCTCCAGAAACTGGGGGGGCCCATGGGCCTGTTGTCCAGCAGGTGGATGCCTTTCCCTGGAGACAAGAGGAAACCCACCTCTGGTCCCCATCACAGGACACATGACTGGTGCCCTAAGGCTGTGAGTGTGCCCAGCTCGCAGGTGAGGGTGGCACCGCCCAGCCACGCAGTGGCTGACATGAGACACTGTCTCGCCCTGCAGCTCCTGGCTTCACAAGCTTGCCTCCCGTTGCTCTGGCACATCCAGCCTCTTCGCCAATCCGAGAAGGGCAAACCGGAACGGAAGGGACGAGGCTGTGCTCAAAGCAACACCCTCACACACCTACAGGGGGCGCCAGCAAGGCAGCCCCGCGGCTCCAGACCAGGCCCAGCCACCCAGGCGTGAGCGCGGCCCCAGCAGTCACTGTGTGGGGTCTCCATGTCCGCTCCCCACACCCGACCGTTTCTGGAGCTGAAGCGAGGTTGCAGAGCCCAGTAGTATCCCTTTATTGGGACAAGGAGCTACCAGGTCACTGCCCTGTATGGTGACAGAGAGGCGAGGGCAGGGAACAGACTGTCCACAGACGCGCCGGAACGCGCACGCCACTACCATGCATTGGTGCGGTACCCGCTTTGGCCAGACCTGTGCCAGGTCCTTGGGGACAGAGGAAACTAAGACGGGTCCTGGTGTCCACACAGCCGCGAGCCCTTGGGGTCACTCTGGTCGGGAGCCCTGCTCCTCCAGAGCCCGCCGTCCCCGCCCCCGCGGGAGCCGAGCCGCGGCCCGCCGGTCACTGGCGTTCACAACGCGCTTCCCTCCTCCGCGTCACTTACCGGTCCGGGGTCCTCACGTCTGCAGGGGCTGCGGCCGCGGGCCCCGCGCGCGGGGACAGATGCGGAGGCCCGGAGAGGACTAAGGGGTCGCTGTGGGGCGACGCTGACCGGACACGAGGGTGGACAGCCCGCGGGACCCGCGTGACGGGGCGGGTGGAACCCTGCTCCCGAGTGGGCGCACTTCCCCCAGCCACCGTGCACGGGGCACGAGGCGGGCGCGGGAGCAGGTGTGGGCTGTTGAGGCGATGAGGCCCATCTTGCAGTGTCTCGCGGGATCTCAGGAGATCAAAGTAGAGCTGCCTGAAGGCAGAGCAGGCTTTCCTTTCCCCTCACCTGAGTGCACTTACCTGGAGGTAGGGAAGCGCCGAGGGCCACACCCATCAATCAGACCAGGCCCTTTTAAGGCTGTACATATTAGGGTTTCACACAAAATTTCTTCATTATCAACGCTTTAAACAGTTTGACCTTCAGCGAAAGTCACTGCTGAGTACCCTGCAGCTCTGACAGGTGTGAATGGGGAGCACTTCAAAACACCAAACCAAAGATACCCTCAGAAACAATTTATTGAGCACCTACTGTGTGCCAGGTCCAGCACTTCCCCTAACCATCCATCCCAGCAGCCCTGTGAGATTAATACTGTTGATCCACTTTTGAGATGACAAAACTGAGGCTCGGAGATGTTCCGTAACTCATTCAGAGTGCACACGGCAAAGCTGGCACGTGAACCCAGGGCTGCCTGACTCCCAAACCTGAGCTTTTTAACTGCAAATGGCAAAAAGACTTGGG